TTGCATTTGCTTTCTATTGGACAATAAGGGGCAGCACAAGATGTAGTCTAAATATAATACTACCCCCAATGAGTGAAAGAACATCAGTCTACTAACAGATGATAATCACAGACAGGCCTATAGACCTAACCTCCTTCACTGTCAGGTCCATGACAGATGCCTGCCTGCTGTGAACGTAGGCCTACGTCAGACCAAGCCCAACAGCATTTCTCACAAATAGAGACTTTCTGAAGTAAACCCCGCTGAGTCTTTCATTTATACAGGTGTGCGAATTGCAATGCAGACTGTCTATGATGCAGAATTATTCTCCGAAGGTCTTTTGGGAATAATGCTGAGAGTTATTAAATAGGCTACATAACTTTACACAGAGACTTCACACAAAGGCCACATAGGCCTACAGTACGACGTAAAAGTCCCACTAGCATCATAAAGTCACCACAGACTATACATTTCCAACACTGTAGCTGCGGTTACTTATCATCAATGAGCGAATCTGTGTGAATATTACACATAATACAGGCCGCTCTGTGGGAGCGGGTGCAGCGGCACTGTCTGCGCAGGCGGCAGAAATCCACACACAGAAAAATTAATACGGCTTGATTTTGGGTTTAGTTTTCTTAATAACTCGACTTACCAAGTTATAATGCAAACAAAAACATACAGGCTTTTCCCTTCTCCACGTCTTCACAAACGAAATTCTGAACTGTTTATCCATTTTGTTTTCAGGTTAATTCCAATAACGATATAAAGGGATAATATACGGGCCAATATTCCTGTGTTAGTTTAACTTTCTCCGTTAGTTATATGAAGATTATTCAGGTGAAACAGACCTATTCTGTGTAGCTTTACTTCTGGTTTCCAAAAGATGGCCAGCAGTCTGCGCTGACGATCGATCTCCTCTTCATACTCGATCATAGTTTTCTCAAAGACTCCGAATATTTCTTCAGCAGCAGCAGTTAGTCGCTCGGTGATGAACTCTCTCAGATACTGAACTGAAGACATTGTTGATTTATTAAGAGAGAAGTTTTTACCCACAATACGACACCACTAACACGGTCTTCGACTAAGTAAACACAACTACAGCGGTGACGCTGTTAGTACTTTGTCTACTTCCGCCGGACGTCACACTGTAGTGGTTCGGCGGTGGACAGAAGTCAGCTTTTTGTTCCGTTTAAATTGAAAACAACCAGCGTGTTTGTAGTTTGTCGAGGTGAAGCTTTTCTTTGTTTTTTTTAAAACATATATTACGTAATTATGGACAGCGACAAATTTTATATAATCATTGTACGTTTTAATGCATAATTTTTTATAGACCACATTAACTGTCAAACATAGTGGACTACAACTGTAACATTTATCTGTTAACTGTAACAAAGTTATAGTTTATAAATGTGTAATTGTATTGTTGACAGTGTAATGTTCAAGATTTGTCACTGTGTCCAAATACACATTCACTCAACTGTTGATATGCTTGTATGTGTCTTCTACATAAACTCCTCTCCAGTTATATAGTTATATTACTTGTGAGTATAAAGTTAACTGCAGTCAAAACAAGATACTCTTAGGTACTGATAAATCAATATTTCTATGAATATCAAATGCCAACACAAGGCAATACATGATTAATTCAAGGAGATACGTTAAACACTGCAGTATCTTTAGTATAAAAACAAAGTCTTTTAATGTACCAGGCATGTTATAGAAACAGCTCAGCATTCTTCATCTTCATTCAGTGAATCCATAGTTGACACAACAGTCTTCTCCACATAAATGCATTGTTAAATAACAATTTAGCAGGAAGGTCTTCTGGGCACGTTCAAGTGGTAGGAGACTATGGGGTTGACCCAGAACACACTGGAGAGATTATATACCTCATCTGGGTTGAGAACGCCTCAGAATTCCGCTAGGAAAACTTTTGCCAGGCAGAAGGACGTCTGAACTACCTCGCTGAACCTGCTGTCACTGTGACCCAATCTCATTAGCAGTATAAAATGAATGGATGGATGGAAAATCACCATCTCATAACAAATGACCCTCAGTGCATGAAAAACTACACTTTACTCTATTGTGAGGCAAATTTTGGATCATTATATGCCATGAGGAGCAGAGGTTTTAATGGGTCACTTGGTTCTTGATAGAATCAAGGAAGGGGGAATGATCAAATAAGGGAATTGACCCAGTGACAACTGTAGCAGCAGCAGCTGGAGAGTTCTGAAACTATGGCCATTTAGTTATATAGAATCTAACAAGAAGGCTTTCCAATTGCTGCCAAAATATCACCTTGGGTTACCGGTTAATTATACATTTTGCTGCAGGGATACTGGTCTCTACAGTTCAATATACAGTATTTTGGCTTGAATTATAATAAGGCCAAATGTTTGGTATTTGTTTTTATTTGTAGCTTATCAGTTTTAGTTTACAGTCCTTATCATCCAGACACGTGGGAGATTCAGAGCACATTTACTTTATTTCACTTTATTTAAACCACTATTTAGCATTTATAAGCAATATAAGGTTAATAAATTCTTTTAACACACTATAGTTTTGTCGCAGGCAGATATAAGGTCATTTTAAGTATATAAACAAATAACAAATGGCTGATAAAATAACATAAGACAGTTGTAAAGGAATAAAAAATATTTTTTTACTAATAATATATCACTTACATACAGTATACAAATTAAGTATTTATTTTCAAATACTTCTTCAGTACACTCCATGACAGCAGAACACATGAAAACACAAGGCTTTGAGATGTGGCTAAAAGGTCTGACAGAACTTAAGGAAACCTTGAGTTCATTTTTAGTTTAACGACTATTTCCAAGGACAAAAGCTACACATCAGCCACAGCTTAACTGTCTTATGCATCTTTATGTAGCGAAACAATAATTAAAGATTATGTAGCAAATGTCTATTATGGGAAGACACTATACATCATCTGTCCAGAGTCCATCCATGTTAACACAGTAGGCTAATCAATATGCTCTGAGCTTCCTCAGGGCAGTACCGGTGAAAACTGTAGGCACATAACAGGGAACTACTGTAAATACATAGTTAAATAATTAAATATGCAGTGACACATACAGATGGCACAGGCAGAGACACCCTCCATGTTTCCAGTAAAATGTTCTCACCCGTCCTTTCTTCTGCTCAGACACATCTCTCCAAACCTATTAGAAACATGCACAGCTTGGATACCTCCATTAGAGCAACATAATTGTTAACTGTGTATTCTACTGACACTGGTGAGTGATGCCCCCTCTGTTCCTATTGGTGAATGTCACAGCACATGTCGTAGGGGATGTCAAACCCGGTGAGAGAAGGAATAACAGCGTCATCTTTTTGTCAGGACAACGTGAGGTGTCCCAGATGCTAGGTCAGTCACTTGTAACCTGTCCTCCTCTCTTGTCAACCATACCTTTCATCAATCAGTGGCGTCTCAGGAGTTTGGAGAGGAATCCAGAGGTGACCGGCTTGTCACTCCTTTCCTGAGCCTCCTCTTTGGCCTGGGCCTTCTCCTCTCCCAGTCCCAGCTCCCCCTCTAGTTGTTCCAGCTCCGACTGGTCCAGCAGCTCAAAGTCCTCCACCTCACTGTCCGACTCCTCAGCCAACTCCAGTAGCCTGGTGGATTCTGGGAGTCTGGACCGCATCGAGTCTTCACTCAGCGCAGTAAAGCTGACAGCTGCTACTATTCTCTCATGGATGGCGGCTGTGACTGCGGCGGTGATGACATCTCCTGCCATCTGGCTGACCAATTCCAGTGCTTTGTCAGTGAGTTGGTCTTCGTGAGAAGGTGTATGCTTGGATTTGATTGGCTGCTGGGGCTGAGGTGGAGGCGAGGGAAGGCCGAGACTTAGGTCATCATCGTCATCGCCATTGGTCGTTGCCCCGTTGTCAAGTGAAGGGAATTCTGGGAGGCCACCAGTGAACACTTCTTCTCTGTCGAGGTCTGTGAGGTTGAGGTAAAAAGAAAGATTTTTTGGTAATATTGTAAGACAGTGGCCAAGCAAGTGTTTGCATTTGCACGAAGACATAGTATAAATTATTTTTCTCTAAAAACTTAATTATCTAACTGTGATATATAAATTTTGAGGCTTTGGATATTAGCAGGTGCCCTAGGATACTAGGATGGGCATTTTTCAAAGTCTTCTGATGTTTCATTGACCAAACAATTAATAGATTATTCAATAAAAGAAACAGCAGATTATCAAAGCACACTAGCAAAGAGGAGCTACTCTGAAAAGTTGAAAAACCAGATTTCAGCCAATGATCCCTCGTCTGTGTGGAAAAGCCTACACAACCTCATCAGTTGTAGGAAACCATCACTCCACTCTAAACTGACCCAGCTCACTGAGCCTGCCCCCACCTGTCAGTAGATCTGACAGACAGGAAGCAGCAGATGAGGCTGGGAAAGCCACATCCAGCACCCAGACTATCAGTGACCCCCAGGGATGTAATGGTCTGTTCTTACACGTGTATGGTACATTTCTATGCATTTCAGCACACTCAAAGTGCTTTCACACACTATTTGGCAGTTCACCCATTCACACTTCCAAGCACTCACACAGTCACACAGTCAGTGTCTTACTCAAGAACACTTCCACATGTGGTGACATATTTGATATGTCCATCTTGTTTACAAAACATAACTACTTACAGTACATGTATGTGGGTATACTAGGAGAAACCCCTACCATTTACTGTTTAAGAATGCATAACCAGCTCAGTTTTGCTGTGGCCCTTCAATCAGATGTGTCTTTGTGTTTCTAAACCCTGATAGTACAACTCCATCGTCGTTATTGTAAAACTGTGCCCATCTGTATGATGTTGTGGACGGGACAAACATACCCTCTGAGTTCTCAGTCTGTGGTGTGTGTCCTTCTGACAGATTGAAAGTTCCGTTGTCCGTCCACGTCACGTCAGACACCTCTGTGTCCGACACAGACATTTCCTTACACGCTGTGGAGTCAAGCTGTAGGCAGGAAATACATGGAATGTCAGAGTCTAGAGGGTAAAACGTGGACAGTTAGCTCACTGGTACAACTGACACAGCAATAAATGTGCCCGTCTGACACAGCAGTGGCAGCATGCTCATTAAAAATAACAAGTTAGCAAAGGAAAGATTATGACATCAACCAAGGGGTAATTGTCACTTTCAAATGTAATATCAGCTCAACATTACTGACTCTGGGGATAAAATATAACGAAGCTGCCATGTGTACTATGCTGTGTGCACTACACTTGACTGGTACTTGTAGATTACAGGATAAAGAAAAAGTGCACAGAGTATAATCTGAGATTAACGTGACTTGCACAACTTGACTCCATTTATTATAATCAGTCTCCATCTGCTGATGAAGACCACAGGATGTGGCTATGAATGATAAATACTCAAATAAGTAGACCTTTGCTTTCCAGTCTCATGTCCAGTCATGACTTTAGTGGATCATTTCTCACAGCAGTCAAATCCAAATCAAGTCCTTTATTTGCGAATTTAACCCGAATTAAGCCCACATTTCCAATCTCAGTTGACAGCCCTACTGGTATGATGACTCACCTCTCTGCATTACACCCTCTTCAATAAAAAATGGTGATGTAAAGGATCAAATCTTGAGGGTTTTGTAGAAAGGACACTGTAATCTGCAGCCAGGTGCTTGGCTGGAGGAGCAACATTTAAAAAGCATCATGTGGCACTCAAGCCTCGATGCTCATGTGGATCATGTGTAGTGATTTTCAGATAGCTTTAACAGCAGCATAATTAGACTGAGATGAAATGAGGTGATCAGCCAACCTTGGGAAACATGGAGGAGAGGTCTGACTCGATGCCCTCTTTCTCAGTCTGGGCCTGGATGACTCTCTGCTCTGGAGGGAAGAAAACATGGACGACACTGGCTTAGTTTTCTAGTCAAATATTTAATATAATAAAAGTGAAATAAGAGCTGTAGGTTTAATAGGGTACAATTAAAACAAATACTTATGAAGGGTATTTATAATTTGATTTACACTTTTGGCTTTACTTTTAGTGGGTTTACAAACATCCACAGTATTCACAGTCAAAATGTTTGATGTAATGTGTCGTTGAGTATTTTCTTCTGTCCCAGTGAGGGGTGTTTTTTGAAGAAAGAACACAGACATTTGTACAATGCATTTAATACATAATACACAAACACTGACCCACTGATATTTTGAAACTAATAAAAAATGTCAAATTAAAGTTTAAAAGCTTGACATGTTGCTCTAAACCAGTGTCTTACAAACTGAGGGCCAGGATGGGGGGTGGGGGCTCAAAATATTTTTGCTGATCAAATGGGGGGCCTAGCACAAAAGGGTTTGGGAACCACTCTAAATACTAATATGGTATCTCTGTCTTGTAAGGTTCTCATTTTTTGTTTGCTTGGAGTAAACAGAGGTCAAACTGGGTCATCTACCTGTATGAATGTCAGTCACCAAGAGTGGTCACAAAAAGTCAAGAGCACCACATGGGGACACGCAAACTTCATCAACAACAAAGAAAACATGGAAAGAGAGATCACAGTTCCCTCCGCCGTCTGACTGACTACTGTTTGCAAACTCCCTTTGCATTAACAATGCACAAGTTGAGTGAAAATACATAACCTAATAGGTTGTCATATGTTACATGACATATAATATTTACCATGCTTCCTTTTGATTTTCTGAAGGATCTCCCCGATGCCAAAGTCCAGCTTCTGTAGAACTGGCTCCAGCCACAATCTGACCTCATGAGATGAAATCAGAGGCCACAGGAAAACGCCCAGCACTGCAGCGGGACATCAAGAACATATGTATTTAATTCAATAAAAGCTATCTATATGCTGCCATACAAACACACTAAAAGTATTTATTTGCATACATAACTCTGCCCACTATGTTAGGATGCAGTATTTGGTATCTGTCAACTGTTATGCTGCTGAGACACAGCTATACCTCTCATTCATGAAGCTAGACATAGTCATTTTGTTTACCCGGTTCTTCCAGTTACTAAACTGGCTTCTTCTTTAATTGACTCACCTAGAATATATGATATAACAACCCCTGGAATGTAGCGTCCTAAGACGGCAAAGAAGGTGCACAAACTGCAGACCAGCAGGCAAAACTAGAAGAAAAAGAAAGGAAACAAAAGCAAAATATGATCATATGGTCATTTTCTGCTGTCAGAGTGCACAGTGAGGGTCAGCTACTTTCTTAGAAAAAATTCTGCAAATGACTCCACCCCCGTCATGGCAGAACTGCTGTATGCAGATTTTCTCATGCCATTTGATGCAGTATGAGGAGCTGTTTACACGGTACAGAAGAGGATTGGGGCCACTGCATAAAATCTATTCTAAGATTAAAGTCAGGATTCAATGGGCAAGATACCTCCAGAAGGCCTGACAACCACCTGCTTCTCCACTTTACTGTCACTCAGCTAAGGTTAGTCTGGGGTTAGTCTGGGGTCAGTCTGGGGTCGTCGGCCGCCTCTGCCTCACCTTGCCTGGGCTTTGTTGTTTGAAAGCCGATGTCTCTTGGAGGAAGACTCTGAGGGAGTCGCTGAGCTGAGGTCCAGTCCTGGACTGGCGGTCCTGGCCTGAGTCAATGATCTCCCACCTACAGGCAAATGAAGGCAGAAGCAATGTTAGTCATCTTTAAGATAACTCACCTTGACTGTGCATGCTGCTACTAGATGGGTCTAAAATGATGGTTCAGGTGGATGGTTGGTCGTACAGGTTGTATGACACAAGACACACCAGTTTTCTTTAACTATTAAGAAAATATCTTTCTCCAGCCTTCCTCAAGCAGTTTTAGTGGCCTGAACATGCAACAAAGTGCTGTTATCAGCTGTTACATTATAAATGATGGTTATAGCGTCTTTAACTATGGTCATTCAAAATTGTATGTCCTTTCACCCAGTGCTGCAACAATTTATGAATTAACTGATAAAAAAATCAACAGAAAATGGATAAAAAAGAAGTGGATTCAATTAGGTCGATTATAAAAATGGGGTAAAAAAATAAGATGCTTCAGGTCAGTACAACCATTAAATAAAGACAAATTAGATGTGTCACTACAGCTCTATGAAGTCTGGGTGACAGTCACATGGTATATCCAGGTTTACAATTGGCTAAAAAACTGCTGTGGGAGGTGGGAGACAGAGGAACACTGGAGCCAGTGGGCAGTCTCTGCTCTCACATTAAGGACCTGAAGCTGCTGGCACGTTTTCAGTATAGGTTTTATAATCGTACCTTGAAATTTAGCATTGCCGTTTGTTCACCTAGTGTATCTGCGCTTTACAAAGTAGGTGACTTGACTTGTCGGTGTGTGTAAGATGAATCCGCATTAAAAAAAATAGCATCAACATTTGACTTGACTAAGAAAGAAGGTTTATCTGGAGGCACAGAATTCTACTTGGTTAAGGGCAGCTGATAAAACTTTGTCCAAGAAAATAGACCAGTCCAATGCAAATGTCATCATCTAAATTAAGAAGCCTGCCATAAAACTGTTAGATGACTCAACAGACAGGTGGTGGATGAGAATAGGGATGTGAAAGTGCTTTCCGTGTTGTGGTACCACTGGAAACTCTGTGCCACCTGGTGAGGTATGAAACTTTCCCCTCTCATGTTGGAGTGGGGGGGTGTTCCCATTTAAGCACTACTATCAGCCCTCGTGCTCACTTGACATAAAAGAGCTATAAGAGGCACACACCCATTTGTAGGTCATGTGTGATAAATAGACGAGTCCTGCTTCGTCTCTGAGATGCTCTCGCCATTAGTTTAACTAACTGGAATCCCTGGGTTTTTGTCACTAAGGGTTTCCTTCGTCCGTCTTTCTGAAAAACTGATACTGTTGCAGGTGATGAATGAGTACAGTGATGGGACAGTAACAAACATAAAACTAACAATGGAATTATTATTACCTTGAATGGAAAACTTTCCATTCAAGGAAAACAATCCCCAGTAGTTATTTGAAGTAAACCAAAGACCAAATTAAAAAAAACCTCCCAGAAAATGTCAAGATTTTAGGTTTCATGTAGCTGTAGTGTTCTGGGGCAACATTAGGACAAATACAGCACCAGTGGCACCAACAAAACAGTTGAAGGCTTGGCTCGCAGCCGAACCTTCCTGCTGGCATCAGACAGTCTGACTCAGATGGGGTATTTAAATCCAAACTCAAAGCTCGTCTGTACCCTGTAACTTTCAGCTAGCGCCATAGTATTAATGACTTCTTGCCTTGTATGGGCCACTATTCTCTGACTGGTGGGTCTCAGTGTATCTATGAACCATGGCTGTACAGTGTAGTCCATGTTGTCCTGCTGACAGGATCACTGTAAACCTGAAAACCACTGCATCTCTCTAACCCTGTTTGTCTGTTCCATGAGCACATGAGCGTCTCTTCACCTCCCAGTCCTCTCTATCACTCAGGTTCTCTGTGCCAGACCATCCGCCATCGTGGGACCTCTCTCGCTCCTCTGGCTGTCAGGGCCTCATTCAGAGGTGTGTATCTGGATCCATGTCCTTCAGGAGTCTTGGCTTCTTCTTGTCCTCTCCCTCCCTTTCACTTTCTTGAGCTTTCTCTTGCTCTAATGTGCATCTGTTTCCTTCACCTGTATGTGTGAATGATATGTTTGGGTTTTGCCTCCCGTGTGGTTGTGTAGTTTGTCCTCCTACTAGGTTTTTATGTAGAGGGGAGTTTGCTTGGTGCGGATCTGGTGGAGGCACGTGGAAACTGGCTTGTCCTCCAGGATCACGTCCACTATGTATGCTACAATATACAGTTTTGTCACTCTGACAGTCCATACTCTCAGTCTATTATGTTGATTTATTCTGTACACATCTATCTCTTCCATTCTGGAACAGGGATCCTCCTCTGTTGCTCTTCCCGATGTCTCTTCCACTTTTTTCCCCTTAAAAGTTTTTTTTGTGGAGTTTTTCCTTATCTGAGTCAAGAACAGAAGGTGTCATGTGTTGTACAGACTGTAAAGCCCCTTGAAGCAAATTTGTAATATTAGGCTATATAAATAAAATCTGATTTGACTTGAATTTACTAGGACAGGTTTATATGCAATGTCTTATCCAAGCACATGTAAAGTTCACCAATGGCTTTTAACTACACCACCTCCAAGACAAGAGTTTGTCTTCATGTTACTGGGGGTAAAATTGCATCACCAGATTTACCAAGAACGCCACCCAGCAACAAACTCTAATAAACCGCTCTCCAGATGACCTGTGATATGATGAAACTTTAGGGTACATTATCCAAGAAGACCTGCGTCTCTTTCCAGGAAGACCCCTGGAGAAAAGCTTATCTTGTCCATCCCTTACTGCTATTATTGCTTCACAGTATCTCTATCACATGATCAGCCCATCATGTTTCCCTGGAAACTGCCCGCACACGGCGACATGTGCCTGGAAGTTGAGAGAGCAGCAGCGGGTCAATCTTTCATCATAAGGGTTATGTGAGACAAGGCTGAGTGTGTAGGTCAGATGAGAAGGGCTGTGGGTGTATATGAGATACTGTAGCTCCTCACTGCCTCTTGTGCTCATTCCTTTACCCGAGCAGATGCATGATTAGGGGAGAAGAAGGATGGCATTACCAACTGCGAGTGTTTCTGGACTGGGGATAAGAGCCAGTGTTTTCAGAATCAGCTTTATTGGCCAGGCGTGTTGGACATGAGGAATCTGACTATGGTACAGCGGCTCTCAATGTGCATGTACATATCCCCATGCGAGGCAACAGCATGAGTCTAAATTTTAGTAATTTTGATCCTGTCTGACAGTGTTGTGTGAGCGCAATGCTAAATCAGTCGAGTACTCTGTTAATTCTTATCATAGAGGAACAAAATTAAACAGACCTTTATTAGACAGAACAGGCCATCATATCGGAGAATGACGAACCTGGCATGTTAATCAACCTAAGTGAATTTTTTCCCTTAAATCTAATTATTGTTGCTATTAGTGGCTCATTGGTCACAAAGGATTAATGTAATTTCCTGTTTGTACGGCAGTGGGGAAAAGGAGTTACACAGCCGTGCATATAGGGAGGAAAACCAACCGGGGAGAAGGGTATTGCTTTCCATTATTAGCAGCTGCCAACAAATGCTAATTTGCACCACTTCAAATGCCAGAAGTTTTCCTTATGAGCTGCCAGCAACAGGGATAAATGTGGAATGTGTCAGAAACACTACATTAAATCAGCACAACCCAGTCAGGGTAGACAGGTGTATGAAACAGCAAATCACTGTAAATCTCTTGCAATTCAAGGTAGTTTTACAAACAGCTGCAAAAGGTCCATCAAGCAATACTGACTTCTTATTTGGAACATTGCTAACAATGGAGAAATCTGTGTAGAAATATTGAAAAACTTGCTACAAACAGGCAATTTCTATGACTGTCTAAAGATTTATGCAGTGAATATGCTGACATGACACCCAACCCTAACTGGTGCCCCTTCCTCAGCAGTGGATATCTCATTTTGGAACATACATTTCCACAAATTTGCAAAGCAATCATATCTCATTCAACTTCCATCTTTACTATACTACTGTAAAACCTTAAAAACCTCGATCAGATATTTTCCGATTAACACAGGAGTGTCACAGCTGTGTTACTGGGCGGGAACCTGCCGAGCTGCTGTAGTAACCAGATCCCAACAGCTGTTTCCAAGACAGCTGCTTTCCATCCTCTGTTGGATTTATATTTAGGACAATGTCATTTAATGTGATGAAACACTTTTGAGACAGTTACCCGGCCAAGTGTCACTGTGTTACTTGTGCTGTTACTAAAAGTTCCACTAATGTTATGCTTCACACCCACCTCCTCTATTATGTTCTTATGTTAGGACACCTCATCATGCATTATGGCTCGTAGGGCTTGATCAAACCAGCATTTATGACAAAAAAATAGAGGACCACATTTCAATCCCAGCAAAGGAATCGCTGCATCAGTAGATCTCCATGGTGCTTTCAGTTAGAGCTCAATTTTGGACTTTTGGTTTTCATTGTTGTTTATAAGCTGGAAACCAATGTCCACCAAACGTATAGAACCTCGTTGTGCTGCATGAGAAGAAACAGTAGCAGTGTTCATTACCCATCTTGCTACAAATCATATTAACAGCGGCCAACAGCATCTGCTGAGATGAACGGTCTAAATGTCATCTGTGACTTTAGTTGAACTGGGGTTAGGTTGGTTTTAAAGGAGAGGCTGCTCTGATCACATAGTGTGTAATGCTGTTTGGCTAAAACTTTGCTACTGTTTTAATGGACACCAGCCAGACAATCAAAAACAAAAAGTAACTGACTTTTGGAGAAAGTGACACCATATTTCAGGTTAAAGCAAATGGTGGTACTTGCTGTCATGACTGTGAGATCATATTTGTTTGAATTCAGACTGTGTGGGGTGGTTTTATATTCCCTTCTGTGTCTCTGCCAGCCTGTGCCCTCAGAGATTTTTACACCTCACTATTTTTGGTTTCAAGTTTAATCTGGAAGCATTTGCACAACTTCAGAGGAACAACGGTGAACCTAACACACAGGTGTTCCTGTCACATGAGCTCTACAAACCCAGGAGAAGGGAATCTATCATGTTTCATTACTCCAGATCATTACAGTGACC